TCAAGACTTCCCTTGGATGTTTTTCAATAAGCAATGTCTTTATTACTAAATTTTTTTTCATACACTAAGACATTTATGTCAAGGTCAAAGTGAGTCTTGAAAATATTTGTGCGTTTGAACAACTACAGAGCAAGATATCAAGAGAGGTTGTCTCGTCATGTTTTTGTTGACATTTAACTTCATCTTAAATTACGACCTTCACTTTCATTACTTTTTTAAGTTTGATTTGATAATTTGCGGCCGGGGATTATGTCACCTTAGTGACAATGCTTGTTTTTTTTGCGTTGGCGGAGCAAAAAACCCCTGAAACCAACCCCCTCCCCCCTTTCAAAATTCCTGGATCCGCCCATGGGTACCTTGTAAGGATGGGAAAGCCGCTATAACTCGGTGGCTGAAAGAGATTGATAATAAGATGTCGTTCAGACTGACATCATGAGCGCCGACCTATACAATTAGCATACAATGACCTGCACCAACCAAGTCAGATTAGTCCCATTGCCTCTCGATCACGACATATATGTGTATACAATTTATATAAACTGAATACATTTACTGATGAATGTAATTGAGAATCAAAAACATATTTACTGCAAGTCAATTGAAACACTATTCCATGGCTTTTCAAAATTCAAATAATTTTTTTAACCTAATTTAAATCGAGGTACAAGATATCATTTTGACTTAAAAAATATATAAGATGGATATAGTGAGTATTGTTTTTCTCTGCTTTTCGCAATAGTTGCTCTTTAAATTGAGAAACTGAGAAGTATTGTAGAAATAAGAATGAAATTAAATGTTGTTTCTCCTTTGATGTTGGGGGTAGTCATCATCATCATCATCATCACATGAAAATGTCTTCGGTGCCTCTGCTGGGGCGAGTCTGTTAGACTTAACAGAAGATCCTAGGTTTGAATTCAGTCCGATGGTTTGTGAGCACCATACCTGCTTGTGGTCTCAGAAAAGTGATAAATGTCAGACACACTGGTTTGGGAGTCACAGTCCCACATAAAGATAATGCGACATGATGATACTGAAATCCCGAATCGAGGTTAATGTGATAATGACCAAAGTTTACCGTTACATGTTTTACAACTATAGAAGTGGTGGCACGTGGTCCTGTGCATAGAGCTCAGGTCACAAATCAGGTGAAGTTATAATAAGCAGCGTTAGGCGCGGAGAGTCTTCGGATGGGTGACCGTGTTTGGCAGCTTGACTCCGGAGAGACTTCTGTCCTTCCCCACAACGAAGCACATGTGATACATGTGGTCTCACCTTAGGCAGTGAGCTTGTTCAAAATTGCCTCTGCTCACCCAGCAGTAAATGGGTACCCGGTGGGGAAAAAGTCATGTGACTATAACCTTCTAGCGACTTACACGCAGATTGGGTTATCTGGGGTAATAATAATCAGATTGTGTGGGCGCTTCGAGCATGCATTGTGCATGGAGCAATGCGCATGAAAATTGGACTATTATTATTATTATAAAGTCAACTATAGAAGCGGTTTAAACTGTATTCAAGTTTATTTCACGGTATGCCAGTATCATGGGGGGAGGAAACCCCAAAGTGATGACGGACGGACGGACAATGGTGCATATGTAAATTTACAGTCAGTGGCCAAAAGTCTGTTCGCAAAACATGTTACGTTGCCCATGTTTTGAGGGGTAGGTTGACTTTGAGAGCGTTTCGCCGTGCTGATAAGCCAACAATGTGATTTGGGGTACAAATTTCACAGGTCACAAAATATGTTTAGCACCGATAATATGCGATTATCTCCCTTGCTTTGTTTATATTTTTGTCGTCTGCTATCATGCCTGTCAACCGAGAATTGACACCTGACCAAAGAAATTTAATTGTTGACTTGAAACAGCAAGGCCAATCAAGCTACAAAATTGCTGATTTGACAGGTATAAACCCAAGAACAATTCAGAAAATTTTAAAACGTTTTCGGGAGCGAGGTTCAGTTAAATCGTTGCCGAGAAGTGGGCGGCCCCGAAAATCGTCACCAAGAAGCGAACGACGGCTTTTTCGTCTTATGAAAAGAAATCGCCGGCAAACACTTGGGGATTTGATAGCAAAATATAACAATCAGGGACCGACTACTCTGTCTTCTCGCACTGTCAGAAGAAGATTGTTCATTGAGGGGTACCGTAGACATGTGGTAAGCAAGAAAATCACCATTTCTCGTGTTAACAGAGAGAAGAGACTCCGATTTTGTCGGACAAAATTGCATTGGGGAAGAAATGAGTGGGATAATGTCATTTTCAGTGATGAGACACAAGTCCAGATCGGGATAGACAGAAAAGTTTCTGTGTGGAGAAAGTCGCATGAGCGGTTACGACCCGATTGTTTGGGGGTTCGTACCGATCATGAACGAAATTCGAAGTTTTCAGTGATGTTTTGGGGGTGTGTGTCTGCGTATGGATGGGAACTTTAACTGTCGTTGATGGCAACATGAACACTGATAAAGTACATTGCCATTCTTGATAACCACTTGTGGCCTGTAGTTGCCAGGCATTTTGTCAACCGCAATTGGATTTTCCAAGAAGACAATGCCCCTTGTCATGTGTCCATTCGGGCTAACCGTTGGAAACAGGAAAATCATATTCCGACTTTGCCGTGGCCCCCACAAAGTCCAGATCTCAATATCATTGAAAATGTATGGAAAACTGTTAAATATCAACTCAAAGCCAGATTAGGTGACATTAACTCCAGACAAGATCTCATCCGTGTGGTGAATGACATTTGGACTGGGCTTAGTCCCGTTTACATTCGTCGTCTATATGACAGTTTACCAAGACGACTCCGAGATGTCCTAAGAGCACACGGTCATATCTCTAAATTCTGAAAATTTGAGGTGAGTACCTTTATTATTTACATAGATACGCGAATTTTAAAAGGGGACCCGACTCCGCTAGAAATAGCCGTGACGTCACCGGTGCGAACAGACTTTTGGCCACTGACTGTAACTTACATCACCATCAACTTAACATTAATGATATCATAGAAATGTCGGAAGTTCTGCATCGTCTTGCATCAGTATAATGGTTTACAAGGCAATTAGAAGGATTTTACTCCACTTCAGAAGCTTTCCGTCGCGATAAGAGGGAATCAGCTTTGAACAATGCCGGGTTCAAGTTTTTTCATCGTTTTCATTGGCTGTTGTCACGAAATGACCCCCACCCCTTTCCAGTATTCAACTCTCAGTTCATTTTGAATCTCTCGTACAAACAACACACACATTCTCTCTCTCTCTCTCACACACACGAGCGCGAGCACAATGTGCGTGACTATGTCTTGTCTGGACTTATGTTTCGTACTACTTGCATACAAACATATTCCACGCTTCAAATTAACAAGCCATTTTAAGCAACACTTGCTTAACCCCTGAATCCAACCTTGGCTCCGCCACTGCAAAACATTAACTTCTATGTGGTCTTGAGTCAATCTCAAAAGTGTGTGTTGGGGGGTGGAAGGAGAGAGGGACAAAAAACAACAACCCCCCAACACACACACATTTTGTGACCTCTTGCACAAAGACATTTTGAATCCTGCTTCGAGTACATTCAAACCGGTTGAGTTGGATCAATTGCAACCAAATTTGAATTTACGTTATTTTTCAAGAGAATGTGGACTATTAATAGTCCTTTATCATGTCGTAGAGAGTGAATGAGAGTTTGGTTTTAACTTTAGACAGTATTCCAGTGAGCGAGTGAATTTAGTTTTATGCCGCTTTTAACAATATTCTAGATGCTAACCTAACACAAGGTATTTTTATCTGCCTGGTGAAAATCTCTACTTTACATGAATTAAACAAATAATTCAGTTCTTGAAAATGTTTGCTTTGCTGAAGACCAATTCTAACGGTCACAGGTTTCAGCATTGATGGTTTGATGGTCACACTCTGTGAATTGTTCGCCATTAGAGTGAGTGAGTGAGTGAGTATAGTTTTACGCCCGTTTTTAAGAATATTCAAGCAATATCACTACGGGGGGACACCAAAAATGGGCTTCACACATTGTACCCATGTGGGGAATCGAACCCGGGTCTTCGCCGTGACGAGCAAACGCATTAACCACCAGGCTACCCCACTTAAAGTGGGAGGAAACTCTGAAATGATACAGGTCTTGGACATCAACCACTCTGATGGATTATGGTACAGATAAACCTAGAAACAATCAGGGTAGACAGGGATTTGATCCCACAGCGATAGGTTGTTGACAAGCCACAGGGACTTCTCTCTCTCATCATCATTGGTTGAAATAAGCATGTGATATTTCAGCTTCATTTGTCAACAGGCTTCTCAGAAGATGTGTGTGATGGACGACTGATACTTGACACAAGCTCACCTAATTTTTAGGTGATGCCAGACCAATTTTATTTCTTGTTTTACAGATTTTTGTCAGAAAACCTAAAGGCAGGAGGAAAAAAAAATATCATCAGCCATAGTAATATTCCTTTTAAATACTAAAAGTATTTAACTTTTGACTTCTCTGATTGGCATTCTAGACTGACTGACTGAGTTTGGTTTTTACGCCGCTTTTAGCAATATTCTAGCAACATCACGGTGGGGGACACCAGAAACGGGCTTCACACATTGTGCCCATGTGGGGATTCGAACCCGGGTCTTCGGGGTGACGAGCCAACGCTTTAACCACTAGGCTACCCCACCGCCCCGGCATTCTAGAAGTTGGGTAGATGAAGAATGAGGACTATATTTTTTTTATGGATATACAACTTCCTTATTCTACATAGGCGATGTTTCGACATAGATTCTAATGTCGTCAAGCAATTTATGAAGTGTATATGGCTAAAAAAAACAATGTAAAAAAATTCTTGTAAGTTTACATTTTTGGCCAATAAGAACATTGGGATTGTATTTTTTGAGCGGAGGAAAATTAAGTTTTTTTTTTTTTCATATTCTTGAATAAATATTACCAGTGGATCCGTAAAACATGAAATAAAATTGGTCTGGCCTGAGCTGAAAAAGAACAAAAATAATGGAGATGTGATATTCTGCCTTTAATAATGGAAACACAAACAGGCACCTTCTCGACATCAAGTCCCATAAGTGATACCCATAAATGATCATGTCTATCACCAAATGATTCAACAAACAGACACACAATGAAGATTGCACTTAATGTACACAAAACAATGCATGCACCTCAACATGCACAAACGGTCATTAATCGTCCTGGTATATTCCAGCTCTAAATCATGTGAAGTGGACTAAGTGAGACCTCAGGAATAATGATATTTTGATCAGGATCAGAGCACAGAATTAAGGATGAAAATCAATGGGTCCCTGTCATAACCTAACATTATTCTTGGTCTGAAGACACTAAATTCAAAACTTTAAGGACACGCAAATTTCTCTTCATTTCAGACACTGATTGATCCAGCATAACCTATATGATTAAAATACATAGACACGATGAAAGTCAGAGCTTGACATTGCCCGCTGGTGGCGAGTCAAGGAGTTTCTGTCCATGACATTGCCAACTGATGGTAACTTATATGATTGATATTCATCGACACATGAAAGTCAGGGCTTGATGTAGCCCATTGGTGGCGAGTCAAGGAATTTCTGTCCTTGACATTGCCAACCAATGGTATCTTTGTGATTGATGTACATCGACACGATGAGGGCAGTTAGAACTTCAGGTTGCCTATTGATGGTAAGTCTGGGAGTTTGATGTCCTTGATCTTCTGTGGAATGTTCATGTCTTTGACGGCCGACACAGCTCGAGCTGGAGCTGCAGCAATACCAGCCTGAAACAAAGAGTCATCCACTTCAGGGTTCGTACAGATTATCAGCCATCACATTGTAGGCCTCTTTAGAGTGAGTGAGTTTTGTTTTACGCCACACTCAGCAATATTCCAGCTATATGGTGGCGGTCTGTAAATAATCTGAGTATGGACCATACAATCCAGTGATCAACAGCATGAGCATCGATCTGCGTAATTGGGAACCAAGTCAGCGAGCCTGACCACCCGATCCCGTTAGTCGCCTATTACGACAAGCATGGGTTACTGAAGATCAATATTCTAACCCGGACCTTCATGGGTAAGCCTTTTTAGAGCCTTTTAAAGCCCCAATGAACAATTTTAAGGATCTATAGACACACATATTTACATAACTAGTTGAATACACACAAGGTTGGGAAAGCCATATTAACTTGACATGCCTCGTGGCTGCACGAGTTGTATGCTCCCAGGGAGTTGAGATTGAAAATATGATGTGACATCTAATAATCAAGGGAAAAGCTTTCAGCATGCATGTAGACTACATAGCTGTACTAGGAAAGTTTTGCTTTGCTATGGAGATTAATTAACACCCAATGTCATTGCAAGGTAATTCATTATGTATTACTTTCATGTAAAATCATAACTTGACAGTTCTGCTAAATATTGGGCCTTTTAGGGCAAATCACTATCAATCAACAATGTTAGTAATCCTCTGTATCTCAGGCATCACATTTTGGTAAACCTACACCAACCCTGGATCCATTCCAATGACTCTTGTGATCTTAAAGCACCCACTCTTGATTTTCAGGGGCTGTGGGGTAACCTAGTCATTAAAATGTTTGCTTGTCAATGTCATGCTGAAGACCCGGGTTCGATTCTTCACATGGGTACAATGTGTAAAGCCCATTCTGGTGTCCCTTGCCATGATAGTGCTGGAATATTGCTAAAAGTGGCATTAAACCATACTGACTCATTCTTGATTTTCATCAGCCACTTTGATTCTCTATGCTACTCTAATGAGCTGATCAATACAAGGGTGAATAACAACAGAAAGGAGCACTATCACCAATTTCAGTGTAAGTCAAACTTGTTGCCATGGAAATGCCAAAAATATTTTATTCAGAATTCCAAAACTACCAAAAGGCACCAGTACACCACGAGATCTATCTATGTGCCAAGTTTGGTGAAGAAATATTGAATGGTGTTAGAGTTCTGCTTCGGAAAAGAGCACAACCACCAATTTCAGTCTAAGTCAAACTTGTTGTCATGGAAACGCCAAAAATATTTGATTCAGAATTCCAAAACTACCAAAAGGCACCAGTAAACCACCAGATCAATCTATGTGCCATGTTTGGTGAAGACATATTGAACGGTTTTAGAGTTCTGCTCCGGAAAAGAGCACTACCACCAATTTCAGTCTAAGTCGAACTTGTGCCATGGAAACGCCAAAAATATTTGATTCAGAATTCCAAAACTACCAAAAGGCACCAGTACACCACCAGATCAATCTATGTGCCATGTTTGGCTTACTCGACATATTGAACGGTTTTACAGTTCTGCTCCGGAAAAGAGCACTACCACCAATTTCAGTCTAAGTCGAACTTGTGCCATGGAAACCCCAAAAATATTTGATTCAGAATTCCAAAACTACCAAAAGGCACCACTACACCACCAGATCTATCTATGTGCCAAGTTTGGTGAAGACATATTGAACGGTTTTAGAGTTCTGCTCCGGAAAAGAGCACTACCACCAATTTCAGTCTAAGTCGAACTTGTGCCATGGAAACACCAAAAATATTTTATTCAGAATTCCAAAACTACCAAAAGGCACCACAACACCACCAGATCCATGTATGTGCCAAGTTTGGTGAAGAAATATTGAACGGTTTTAGAGTTCTGCTCCGGAAAAGACAAATGTGCCTGACGGACGGACGGACGGACAGACGGACGGACGGACGGACGGAGTCCATTTTAATACCCCCCGCAAAACGCGTTGCGGGGGATAATAAGCCTCAATGTTGGGTTGGTGATATCAACAACCTGAGTGGTGTAGTGGTTACAGTGTCCGCCCAGAGAGTGGAAGGTCACGGGTTCGACCCCCGGCTGCGTCATACCAAACGTTAAAATATGGTACTTGTTGGTCCCTGCCTGCCGTTTGGCATTAATGGGTAGGGGATCTGGGGTTGCTGTAATGCTACCAATATGCCAGCCCAGGGGAGGATGAATGTTTGTGTGACTACCTCTTGTTTCTCCATCTTGTTCTGCTCCTCGATGCGGGTGAGAATCTCCGTCATGTTCGTCTCCAGCACCATACCACCCATCACCAGCTCCGCCAGGATGTAGTGGACCTGAGTGAGTGAGGGAAAAAGAAGGGATTTAAGGCCAAAAAAATTATATGTCCGTTTTCTGTTACATGCTTTTTAAAAATAGGGTAGGTTGGTTGATTTTATCTCTATTTTTCACTTTTAATTTTTTTAGCAGCACCAGGTGGGCACCTGAGAATGTCTTCAAGGATACCATATCATGTTGTTACAATGCCTTGTGATGAAACATTGAAAGATTTTTATATCAAATCATTATTTATGTTATTCATTTGCAGGTTTTGTCAGTGAGAGGCCATTATAACACTTCAATGCAATCCATTCAATGCAATCCATCCATGCAAACGTACACTGAAAAACATGAAAATATCATACTCCACTTGGATGAAAATGATGAGTTGAAATGCACTCCAGTCATGATTTTGACTTGGTTAAAAATAGGTTTAGTGTTGATCGGGTAACCGTGAACTGACATTTTTATTTGGGGGGGGGGCGCTAAGTAGAAATTCAAACTAACGCCGTTAGGATTAATTTTGTTTGACGTGAAAGGAAAGTTCAAAGTGATATTTACCCAGTTTTAAAAATAAGACTGAAACAATATTTATCAAACACTTTATTTTGACGAACATAACTGGCTCACCCATGTCCAAAACTTTCACTAGTTTCACAGATGGAAGTGTTGTTAATGGTTTACACAATAGAACGAGACACATTCTTTTAATAATATCAAATAACCACATGCAAAATAATTCAGAAATTTGTTCCTTCTCCAAGAAGATGGGACTGGTGTAAATTTGGGTGTCAAATCGAAACAAATACGAAAAAATTGTATGGTATGGCATCTCTGGTAGCCGACTCACATGGGGAAGATAAATTCTTAGTTAGCTGATCCACTGTGACACATGTACCAGTGTGTGTGAGCCTATGTATGTGGAGTTACAGATAGATACATCCCAGCATATGCCCATCAAGATTTGTTGATTTAGTCCGTTTGATTTCATTTTAGACCGATGAATTGCTCACTAACACAAAATCTAATAATTGTAACAAAACCAAATTTTGCACAGTCCCGTGAAATCGACAAAATCTGATGATTTGTCTCATAATTTTGGACACCCGAATAAAACATTGTTTAACAAACGATCATTACTTTGTTGTCTCTTTTCGTTATTTCTTACGAGGGGGACCACACACATACCTTGTCGACATGGAAGATTAAGTCCAGCTCACAAACGTTCTCAAAACACTTGTCTAGCGTCTCCACAAATACCTGCAACAACAGACATCTGAATCACGTGGTGCCACAAACAAAATGTTCAGCATATTCAATTTTATGTCAGATTATTGAAAGGGACTAAATGACTGTCATGTTCCCATACTCTCACAAATTTTGATGTACTGGTCAAACCTGGTGTGTCATACAGAAACTTTGCGTTGAACTCGCAAATAAGTTGTGTCGAAATCACAGTCGGGTTGTGTCGACGTCACGGTCAGGTTGTGTCGGACTCACAGTCGGGTTGTGTCGATGTCATGGTCAGGTTGTGTCGATGTCACTGCGAGGTTGTGTCGGACTCACAGTCAGGTTGTGTCATGGTCAGATTGTGTCGGACTCAGTCGGGTTGTGTCGATGTCACGATCAGGTTGTGTCGGACTCACAGTCGGGTTGTGTCAATGTCATGGTCAGGTTGTGTCAGACTCACAGTTAGATTGTGTCGGACTCACAGTCGGGTTGTGTCTGAATCACAGTCAGGTTGTGTCAGACTCACAGTCAGGTTGTGTCGGACTCACAATCGGGTTGTGTCAATGTCATGGTCAGGTTGTATCAGACTCACAGTTAGATTGTGTCAGACACAGTCAGGTTGTGTCAGACTCACAGTCGGGTTGTGTCAGACTCACAGTCAGGTTGTGTCAAAATCACAGTTAGGTTGTGTCGGACTTACAGTCAGGTTGTGTCAGACTCACAGTCAGGTTGTGTCAGAATCACAGTCAGGTTGTGTCAGACTCACAGTCAGGTTGTGTCGGACTCACAGTCAGGTTGTGTCGATGTCACGGTCAGGTTGTATCAGACTCACAGTTAGATTGTGTCAGACACAGTCAGGTTGTGTCAAAATCACAGTCGGGTTGTGTCAGACTCACAGACTCACAGTCAGGTTGTGTCGGACTCACAATCAGGTTGTGTCAGACTCACAGTCGGGTTGTGTTGGACTCACAGTCAGGTTGTGACAAACACACTTATTCTTATCCCGATAAACTCTTAGTATATTTATATGACTACACAGTTTTTGTGTTTTGTGCTCTGGGTTACAGGGGATAAAACAAGTAACTGTCAGGTTGACATCAGTACACTGACCTGTATCAAGTCCAGAATCCCCAGTTCACTTTCCGAGGAGTCCACACAGAACACGAAGTACAGCGTGGCGTAATGACGGTAGATCAACTTGTAATCAGAGCCTCCGATGAGCCTGAAGTGGATTAAACATCTTGGTGACTTAAGTGTATATACACTTAAGTGCAACATAAGTGTATATACATGAGTGAGTAAGTTTAGTTTTACGTTGCTTTTAGCAATATTCCAGCAATATCACGGCGGGGGACACCAGAAACGGGCTTCACACATTGCACCCATGTGGGGAATCGAACCCAGGACTTCAGCATGACGAGCAAACGCTTTAACCACTAGGCTACCCCACCGCCCCTGTATATACATGAACTTTTAGCACATCACGATTTCCCCAATTTCATTGTGGGGGGGAATCTTTGTTTGAAATGCAAGAAAAATCCTTAGGTTGCTTGGTCTGTAAATAATCAAGTCTGGACAATCCAGAGATCAATATTGTGAGCAAATATCTACACCGTCAGGGTCGGAGTGCATGCTATGAACCTGTTCTGATCACCCAATCAACTCGGTTGCCTGTTACAAACATTGCAGATTATCAGGGAACCATTCGAACACAGAATCCCCACATGGGTACAAATGACCCACAAACACAGTGTTTCTGCTAGTTTTTTAACAGCTGGTCACCGTGTCCCACGATCTCCTAATTTATCGGTCCTGCATGAAATCTGCCGGTCACAGTCTGAATTAAATTTCCATAATTTACTAGGTCTTAGCTTTGAAGACTGATGGCAACTTCCCCAAATTGGAGAGCTTTGTCTGCTTTCCACTTGCCATTTGAACAAATACATGGTTGTTAACAATTGGATAACATCGATATTTTCAGTCATTTCTCATGACAAAAGCAATTATTGTGACATTTCGAGGTACAAAATACATTGATCATTTCCGAATGACTGTCAAACTGACCAATCACATTGCGCATAGCATAATGAATTAAGAAGGAAACCTTGTCTCACACACAAAAATCGTAAGTAGCCGATTCTAATTTCTATTATTAGAGGATTATTTTAGCAATTATAATTTAATTTTGGTAACATTTTAAGCAGGACAAAAAATACTTTTTGTATTTTACTGGACACAGTGACCGATAGCCTCCAAATTTATCAGTCCTGGGCCAAAATCCAGTATATACTGGAGAACGGAAACATGTAACTCATTCAGCAGCAAACTGTCAGTTCTGACCCGGAATAATATGGCCCGTAGTGTGGTACATTGTAAAGAGTAATCTTTAATTTTAAAAATGACACTGAAGACATCCTTACGTTCCCCCTTCCAAGAAGTTGCAGACATTGTCGTCCCTCTTTGACACGAGATGAAATGTTTCCCTGATGATCTGTTGCTGAATGTCTTCTGCCTGTAAAAAATGCCAACAAGAACATCAACATAAAATACAACATGAAGTGTTGAAAAACGTATGGATGTAAATATTGTTCACAGCTTGTGAGTTCTCTTGTAATTGTTGTGTTAAGTTGTGTTAATAATTTTTGTATATTTATAAATAATATTTGGGATGGTGGAACGGGAGGAACTCTTACCATTACGTGTAAATTATCAAGTCTTTACGAGGCATATTCTTTGCGTTTGTTGTTTAACATTGCAACTAGGTTAGCACTACATCACAACGAGTCAATTTGCACAGCATGTGACGTTTGTCTAGTTGTAAGCAAACACAGTAGCAGTTAAGCCAAGTTGAAACCATTGTGCTTATCTATAGGCCTCAACTCAAAAGTGTTTTGGAGTCTGGTGTGTGTGTGTGTGTGTGTGTGTGTGTGTGTGTGTGTGTGTGAGTGAGTGAGTGAGTGAGTGAGTGAGTGAGTGAGTGAGTGAGTGAGTGAGTGAGTGAGTGAGAGAGAGAGAGAGAGAGAGAGAGAGAGAGAGAGAGAGAGAGAGAGAGAGAGAGAGAGAGAGAGAGATGCCTACTGTGTAGTATTTACATGGATTAAAGTGAGGGCCAATACTGAAAAAGGGGTGTGTCATTTCAGGAACAGCATCGAGAAACAATAGGATATCTATTGAGGATTGGAAAAGATCTGGTACGATATACTGATCATAATGACAAGAGCGAAATAGTCAATGAAAACGACAGCCATGTCGATGATACCAAGTGCTGCAAAACATTTCAGTTTACAGAGTGGAAAAATGAAATTCAGACATCTTGAAATGCGATAGGGAAAATTCAGACGCTATACTCACGTAGTGCTGATAAAATCGACTCATTCGAGGCTTCCCATGGTTATTAAATACGAGAATGGCCTTAATCATAGTGAAATTTGAAAATAAAAAGGTACCAAAACGCTAAATGTCCATACTAAACACTTTCCCCAACACAGCTGGTGACTGACACTATCACTTCCGGTAATGACAAGGGAGGCTACTCTTGTCTGCTTATCACTTCTTAAAATGTGTGCGTTTTTCATCAAAATTGGTCGATCCAACCTGTGTATTTGTCGAAAATCTTTGATTTTCGTAACTCATTGCAACTGGTCGTATTTTAACGTTTTTTAATAAATGAAGTAACAAGAGCCAACAAACTATATGATTAAAACGCTAAGAAACCCTCAATATAGGTCATTTCTATTTAACGATGAGCCAAGTATTTGGCACATGGGCTTGTATTGCTGAAAATAATACGTCCTGGGTCCTACAAGCGTACACTGATATCCATATACATATAAAGAAGTCATTTTTTATATGTATATGGATATCAGTGTACGCTTGTAGGACCCAGGGCGTATTATTTTCAGCAATACAAGCCTCTGTGGTATTTGGAAAATGTTTTTCCTTGATGTAAATACTTTTCTTAGTTTTTTTTATCCAAAGTTTGAAATTGTGGCATTGGGAATGAAAACTCGGAATAGTTATCTATATAGTTATTAGAAATAATATTTACTTGATTTTGTTTGATTTTTGTGTATTTTATTTAATTTGTATTCACAATATTGCAAATTTATATGCTATATGCTTTTCTCAGTCTCAGTGTTAGAATGGCAGTTAAAATTCAATGACCATTCAAATCCAGTGGCAATGAAAACAGTGATAAAAGCAATAAAGTGGTGATAATATTCAAATTGCTGCAACAGTGGTCAAGTTTCCAAAATAGGCCAAGGCCGAGTATCGAGGGTGAAAAATGATCTTCACGCAACTGATGATATTTTTGTAACGTGAGATGATGTAATGTGAGATGACAGAGGCAAAAACACACCCATTATGTATTGTGTATTCTGAACCTTGTAACACTGGGTTAGACTATGCTGGAACGTTCCATAATGTACTGGGTTAGACTATGCTGGAACGTTCCATAATATACTGGGTTAGACTCTGCTGGAACGTTCCATAATATACTGGGTTAGATTATGCTGGAACGTTCCATAATATACTGGGTTAGACTATGCTGGAACGTTCAATAATATACTGGGTTAGACTATGCTGGAACGTTCCATAATATACTGGGTTAGACTATGCTGGAACGTTCCATAATATACTGGGTTAGACTATGCTGGAACGTTCCATTCGTTTTTATGTACCTTGCAGTAGCTTCCAGAACGCTCAGTCTAAATATAGCACAGTCCTGACTTACCGAATACCAACAGAAACAAGGTATAAATGCACACATTCACGCACGCGCACGCGCGCAGAGAAAGACACACATACACACACGCACGCAGACACACAGACATACACACACATATACTGGGTTAGACTATGCTGGAACGTTCCATAATATACTGGGTTAGACTATGCTGGAACGTTCCATAATATACTGGGTTAGACTATGCTGGAACGTTCCATAATATACTGGGTTAGACTATGCTGGAACGTTCCATAATATACTGGGTTAGACTATGCTGGAACGTTCCATAATATACTGGGTTAGACTATGCTGGAACGTTCCATAATATACTGGGTTAGACTATGCTGGAACGTTCCATAATATACTGGGTTAGACTATGCTGGAACGTTCCATAATATACTGGGTTAGACTATGCTGGAACGTTCCATAATATACTGGGTTAGACTATGCTGGAACGTTCCATAATATACTGGGTTAGACTATGCTGGAACGTTCCATAATATACTGGGTTAGACTATGCTGGAACGTTCCATAATATACTGGGTTAGACTATGCTGGAACGTTCCATAATATACTGGGTTAGACTATGCTGGAACGTTCCATAATATACTGGGTCTATTAACAGACGTTCCTGTATACTGGGTTATGCTGGAACGTTCCGCAATGTTCTGGGTTAGACTATGCTGGAACGTTCCATAATATACTGGGTTAGACTCTGCTGGAACGTTCCATAATATACTAAGGTTAGATTATGCTGGAACGTTCCATAATATACTGGGTTAGACTGATGCTGGAACGTTCAATAATATACTAGGTTAGACTATGCTGGAACGTTCCATAATGTACTGGGTTAGACTATGCTGGAACGTTCCATAATATACTGGGTGGAACTCTGCTGGAACGTTCCATAATATACTAGGTTAGATTATCCTGGAACGTTCCACATATCTAAGGTTAGATCTAGCGCTGGAACGTTCCATAGCTAATTGGGTTAGACTATGCTGGAACGTTCCATAATATAACAATTGGGTTATCTGCTGGAACGTTCCATAATATACTGGGTTAGATTATGCTGGAACGTTCCATAATATACTGGGTTAGACTATGCTGGAACGTTCAATAATATACTGGGTTAGACTATGCTGGAACGTTCCATAATATACTGGGTTAGACTATGCTGGAACGTTCCATAATATACTGGGTTAGACTATGCTGGAACGTTCCATTCGTTTTTATGTACCTTGCAGTAGCTTCCAGAACGCTCAGTCTAAATATAGCACAGTCCTGACTTACCGAATACCAACAGAAACAAGGTATAAATGCACACATTCACGCACGCGCACGCGCGCAGAGAAAGACACACATACACACACGCACGCAGACACACAGACATACACACACAAACAGAGACAGACATACGCACGCGCGCTTAGAACACATACACGCATGCACGCACGCCCATACTGACTGACTGACTGAGTTTAGTTTTACGCCGCTTTTAGCAATATTCCAGCAATATCACGGCGGGGGACACCAGAAATGGGCTTAACACATTGTGCCCATGTGGGGAATCGAACCCGGGCCTTCGGCGTGACGAGCCAACGCTTTAACCACTAGGCTACCCCACCGCCCCCGCACGCCCATACACAGACAGACATATTCTATTGGAAAACTGTATAGATTGAAAAGAATACCTTGATCCCAGCCTACCTCACCAGATGTATCTCATTTCTCTCCGACAAACATCTTTATAGTGATCTTCGAGTTTAAAGAAATGAAAGTGTCATGTTTGAACTCTACGCCGATATAACTAATAATAATAAAAGCATGCACGAATGATATATGTATACACGATGGGGGCTGTGCTAGAAGGGCTTCTGGACCCAAACGAGTGTCCACAAATGACAGCACATGACATTGACATGTTGTTATTGTCGCGCACGTGTCAACATGGGATGGGTCGAGATTGTTTACACATCGTTTGATAAACTACCAGTCTTGTCACCAGCTGTTTAAAGATATTATTACGTAAATGTGGCATTTTATGTAACTGTCTGCTCCCTTTCGTAATCTTCTGAAACATGACATTTTTGGTGTAAACATTCGCTTGTCAGATGTAACGCCCACAAATTGCTTATCTAAGGTTGAAACCCTTGTGTTGTGTGATGATCTTTTCCAAAGTCTGTTTCAGAATAATGCGCAGGTGCGTTTTGGTGATCAGTAATGCATTTGTTTACCGGGTTGTCATGTTAACAAATTGGGAGGTTGGGTTGGGTTGGGTAGGGGAAATGGTGCGGTGCGGTGCGGTGCGGTGCGGTGCGGTGCGGTGCGGTGCGGTGCGGTGCGGTGCGTTGCGTTGCGTTGCGGTGCGGTGCGGTACGGTGCGGTGCGGTGCGGTCATATACAGAGAGACGATGGGGTAGCCCAGTGGTTAAAGAGTTCGCTCGTTGTGTCGAATACCCGGGTTTGACCTCATATCGCCTACACCACTATTTCGCCTACAGCTTATATAAACATCCTGTCAAATCCCATCTACCCTGTTCAGGGGAATGGAATGGCCCTATTCCACTGTAGTTTCATCGAATGCAACTAAATGGGAGAGAAGACTTTTGAGAAGTTACTATTGATACATGATTTGTTTTAAGTATACAGTGAAGGATATTAGTGAAGGGGTTATGCTTACCCCTGGGTGAGATAATCCCATTGTTTTGATTAGAATTAATACTTCAAAAGATTTATCTTATAAAAGTAAAAAGATTATAATTAGGTCTGTTGTGGTTGCAATGAGGGGTCATCTCAACATAATTTTCTCAAAGTATATATACATGCCACTGATCTTTAGTCGGTATCAAAATGGCAAATCTCCAGAGAGCTGAGTTCGTGACTTCACAGAGAGGTGGACAGCAGTTACTGTATGCAGGCTACCGGTACAGGCTCAATGTCAAGCGACAGGTTGCTACACACTGGAAGTGTGTCCTCACAGGATGCAATGGTCGCAGCAGCACCATCGGAGACCACGTAGTGTCCTCCACTATTCACAGCCACCCACCCTTTGAGAATGGAGAACACATCCGACTCGTCGCCCGTGTAAAAGAGCGTGTAAAGACTGACATCTCACCGGTGCTGCAGATCTACAACAACGAGCTCGACCTCCTTGATGAAGATGATGCCGCAACTGCACCCACGTACTCTAATATTCAGGCCGCACTGTACAGACACAGAGCTAAGTCCATCCCACCACTGCCTGAGAGCAGGGCTGGCGTCACTCTAGAAGGAATATGGACCCAGACCGATGATGGCCGAGAGTTCCTCTGTGTAGACGACGGTGAAGATGACAGACTTTTGCTGTTTGCTACAACCGAGATGCTGGAATTATTGAGCGACGCTGACATTCTCTTTATGGATGGTACATTCTTTGTGTGTCCTAACCTGTGGCTACAAGTGTACATCATTCATTGTCTGGTGAATGGTAAAATGTTTCCTGTCGCTTTTGCGTTGCTTCCCAACAAGACCAAGCGGACGTATGTTAGGCTTTTCACTTTGCTGAAGGATATTGTTGTGAGACGACTTGGCATCGAACTTTCACCAGAAATATTCCAGATCGACTATGAAGCAGCAGTTATCAGTGCTATTAGTGAAGTCTTCCCCGACAGTTCCGTCCGAGGTTGCCTATTCCATTATTCTCAAGCTTTGTGGCGTCAAGTTTTGGAGAGGGGACTGTCTCGCGACTACATGAACAACCCAGCAGTCAAGCCCACGTTCGACGAGCAGCTGCTTTGCCACTCCTTCCCTGAACCAGGTCCAAGATGCTTGGTTTGAAGTCATCGAGCAGTCTCCCGACGGCGACAGAGTAGCAGCCTTCAACGACTACGTCACCAGCACCTGGGTTGAAGATGATGCCAAGTTCCCTGCAATGGTGCATAAAGTTGTTTTGTAGAATACCCGGGTTCGATTCCGAACATGAGTGCAATCTGTGAAGCCCAATTATGGTGTCCCCGGCATGATGTAGCTAAAAGCGGCGTAACATCATATTCACTCACTTATATACAGAGTGATCGAGCCATCATTTGAAAATAGTCTTTTATTTCTCGTCACACCGAAGGCCCGGGGTCGATTCCCCACATGGGTTCAATATGTGAAGCCCATTTCTGGTGTCCCCCGCCGTGATATTGCTGGATTATTGCTACAAGCGGCGTAAAACCCAACCCACTCACTCACTCAGTTATTTTAACCAAACGGCTGTACATTTTCTCCAAACTTGATTCCACTTTAAACACAAAATACATCTTTCGAAATGAAATTCATGACATAACGACGAGCGTCACATGATTGCATGTGAAGATGCATAGTAATTATGTATTTATGCCATAATTAACGTTAAACAGTTGGCTGAAATTCCTTCAGTTGACGAGGCTTGTCACATTACAATTCGTTATTTATATGGTCATAAATTGAAATTCCTGAACGTCATTTTTCATTTATTAGCAAATCTTAATTCTGTGTTTATTAATGCCAACTGTGGCTTAAAGTCTTCATTATTAAAAGACGTATCTTGAACACGTTAATGATTAACTGTGTGACGTGACATCTAGCTGCCACGAAAGCTTGTAACAGTGAGTGAGTGATTGAGTTTAGCTTTACTCCCGGACCAGGTAATCCAGTGATCAACAGCATGAGCATCGATCCACGATCTTCACGGGTCAAAGCTTGTAAGAGAATTTTGGAAAAGCAAGGATGCTCATGCTGTAAGAGGCGACTAACGGGATCGGGTAGTCAGGCTCGCTGACTTGGTTGACACACGACATCGTATAACAATTGCGTAGATCGATGCTCATGATTTTAATCACTGGATTGTCTGGTGCAGACTCAATTATTTACAGACCACCACCATATGGCTGGAATACTGTTGACTGTGGCGTAAAACTAAAGTCACTCACTCACTAATCGTCTCTTACGACAACCATGGGTTACTGGAAACCAATTCCAACCCGGTTAATTGACCAGTGGGTGTAATACCCCTGTTGATGTTAAAACGTCAAATATCAGATATATTACTTCGACCATCTCTATGCTCCAACTCTATTATTTACAGACCGCCGCCATATAGCTGGACTATTGTACCGCGATATACAACAACCAGCCAAAAAAACACCCAGTCTTTGCTATCCTCAGAAACAATTCCTTCTGGTTTAGGGGAAAAAAAGTCTGCCTAAAAAGGAAAGTATTTTTTGCTTGAAGCCTCACTGCAGTACCTCTGCCACGCGAGGGCGGCCGCTAACAAAGCAGACAATCAAGTGATTGGTGGACGGACAATTGAGTTGGATCATTTTGAATTACGACTACTGTGTAGAGTGAGTGAGTGAGTTTAGTTTTACGCCGCAGCGGTCTGTAAATAATCGAGTCTGGACCAGACAATCCAGTGATCAACAGCATGAACATCGACCTGCGCAATTGGGAACCTCCCTCCCCTCCCTCCTGCCCATGTGGGGAATCGAACCCGGATCTTCAGCGCGACGAGCGAACGGCTTAACCACTAGGTTACCCCACCGCCCCACAAAAAACAGGACTTCGTTGCGACGTCTGTGGTTAAACATGGTTTGTTGGTCATAATGTCCAAGTATCCATAACGAAAAACAGTGGAGAGAAACACTTGTCCCGTTGAGCCTTACATGGGGCATGGTCAGGTTGAGGTACTCCACTATGATATATAACTATAGTGAGTGAGTGAATGAGTGAGTTTAGTTTTACGCCACACCCAGCAATATTCCAGCTATGTGGCGGCGGTCTGTAAATAATCGAATCTGGACCAGACAATCCAGTGAGCAACAACATGAGCATCGATCTGCGGAATTAGGAACCGATGACATGTGTCAACCATGTCAGCGAGCCTGACCACCCGATCCCGTTAGCTGCCTCTTACGACAAGCATGGGTTACTGAAGGTTCATTCTAACCCGGACCTTCACGGGTCTGTAACTATAGTTATTTCCTGATAGCGAATGTTGCTCCTCATATCAACCTTCTCTCGTCTGGCCCAGACTTAATTACAAAAATAGACGACCAGAACACTCACAGTGTACAACTCGCAGTGGCTTAAACAATATTCGATTGAAAACAGTTTAATTCAGAGTGAGTGAGTATGGTTTTACGCCGTTTTCAGCAATATTAAAGCAATATCACGACGGTGGATACCAGGAATGGGCTTCACACATTGTACCCATGTGGGGAATCGAACCCAGGTCTTCGGTGTGATGAGCGAGCGCTTTAACCGCTAGGCTACCCCACCGCCCCTTTAATTTAGAAGGCATCTTATGATATAATTTCTTTCATAATCAATTTCAAATTCATCTGTTAAAATATTCGTACGGAAAATCCAGCGTAGGAGATAGAAAGCCAATGAATGGACTACAACACGAGAGACGATTGATTTCACGCACCTAGTTGGTTTTGACGTTTGCATTAGCTCAAACATCGACCACTATATAGTCACGTCTGCAGCGTTGGGTTGATCGGGGGAGAACTACACAACAGTTGGACGACGGCCGACCGAGAGGCTCCACTCCACTCTTGTAACATCAAGTACAAAATGTAAGTACTGCGTCGATGTATGTGGTATAGTTACAGGGTGGATGCAGCTTTTTGAGAAAGGGGGAGATGGTGGGGTGGGGGGTGTTGCACAGTTCAATTTCACCCCTTTCCACGAGTTACAATGGTCATTTAATATACTTTCAGGAGAAAAGGGGTGTGTGGGGGATGCATTGTTACTTTCTAGGGCATTGTTGTCCCTGCATTGTCATCATGTAGGGCAACGTTTTCAATACATTGTCACCATGTAGGGCATTCTTGTCCCTGCATTGTCACCTACTAGGGCATTGTTGTCCCTGCATTGTCACTTTCTAGGGCATTGTTGTCCCTGCATTGTCACTTTCTAGGGCATTGTTGTCCCTGCATTGTCATCATGTAGGGCATTGTTGTCCCTGCATTGTTACTTTCTAGGGCATTGTTGTCCCTGCATTGTCATCATGTAGGGCAACGTTTTCAATACATTGTCACCATGTAGGGCATTCTTGTCCCTGCATTGTCACCTACTAGGGCATTGTTGTCCCTGCATTGTCACTTTCTAGGGCATTGTTGTCCCTGCATTGTCACTTTCTAGGGCATTGTTGTCCCTGCATTGTCATCATGTAGGGCAACGTTTTCAATACATTGTCACCATGTTGGGCATTGTTGTCCCTTCATTGTCACTTTCTTGGGCATTTTTGTCGCTGCATTGTTGTCCCTTCATTGTCACCACGTAGGTCATTGTTGTCCTTTCATTGTCACCTTCTAGGGAATTGTTGTCCCTGTATTGTCACTTTCTAGGGCAATGTTTTCCCTAAAATGTCACCACGTAAGGCATTGTTTTCACCTTATAGGGCATTGTTGTCCCTGTATTGTCACTCTCTAGGGCATTGTTGTCCCTGCATTGTCACTTTCTAGGGCATTGTTGTCCCTGCATTGTCACTTTCTAGGGCATTGTTGTCCCTGCATTGTCACTTTCTAGGGCATTGTTGTCCCTGTATTGTCACTCTCTAGGGCATTGTTGTCCCTGCATTGTCACTTTCTAGGGCATTGTTGTCCCTTGTCACATTGCATTGTCACTTTCTAGGGCATTGTTGTCCCTGCATTGTCACTTTCTAGGGCATTGTTGTCCCTGTATTGTCACTCTCTAGGGCATTGTTGTCCCTGCATTGTCACTTTCTAGGGCATTGTTGTCCCTGCATTGTCACTTTCTAGGGCATTGTTGTCCCTGCATTGTCACTTTCTAGGGCATTGTTGTCCCTGTATTGTCACTCTCTAGGGCATTGTTGTCCCTGTATTGTCACTTTCTAGGGCATTGTTGTCCCTGTATTGTAACTTTCTAGGGCATTGTTGTCCCTGCATTGTCACTTTCTAGGGCATTGTTGTCCCTGCATTGTCACTTTCTAGGGCATTGTTGTCCCTGTATTGTCACCATGTAGAGCATTGTTGTCTCTGCATTGTCACTTTCTAGGGCATTGTTGTCCCTGCATTGTCACCATGTTGGGGATTGTTGTCCCAGGATTGTCACCTCCTAGTGCATTGTTGTCCCAGCATTGTCACTTTCTAGGGCATTGCTGTCTCTGCATTTTTACTATGTTGGGGATTGTTGTCCCTGCATTGTCACCATGTTGGGGATTGTTGTCCCTGCATTGTCACCATGTTGGGGATTGTTGTCCCAGGATTGTCACCTTCTAGTGCATTGTTGTCCCCGCAACCACGAATCTTTATGTCTGCATGCATCGTTAAACATCCTACATCAGCTTTGGTGCCATCTGTCAAACAGCAAAAAGAGTTGGGCTTTAAGAAAATGTGTTGACAAGCCAGCAAGTTGATGTAAGTCCATTGGTTTTACATTTCCTGTGCAGTGGATTGAAATTGCACGTAAATTTTTAAAATCTAAAGCACACCGGGTGGTCAGATATGGTGACTTTCTAGATTTGTGACACCCTTTGCCTTGGTGGATGTACTTCATTGATCCTAACACGTGTTCACCTGGTCCCACCTTGACAACTTACAATATTGGCAGGTGTAGCTTCATACATGAAACAAAGAAACATTCATTTTTATCATTAAACAAACTCTTATTGTTTGAAGAGGTCAGATGGTGTCTATAGTGTGGCTTCATACAAGAAACAAAGAAACATTCATTTTTATCAATAAACAAAGTCTTATTTTCTGAAGAGGTCAGATGGTGTCTATAGCGTGTCTTCATACAAGAAACAAAGAAACATTCATTTTTATCAATAAACAAAGTTTTAT